CGAGTCAGACCTGACTCATAGCAACCCCTCCTTGGGTTTCCGAGGTGGTATCACTACAGAAGTAGATTGCCCAACCTTCCTTCCGAGGAGTGGCTGGTAGGTTTGACCACCAGCTTTCTGGTTAGCAGTAAAGTGCCTTAGCCGCTATGCTACCAGAGCTGTTTAGCATATAGAAACGTGTGCTTCTTATTTGATTTTAATACTGTCGCTCTAGGCTAGCTTGTATTAAAATATCTCATTAAAAATTCAACATTCTGTGAAATTTGAATGGAGAAACAAAATATATCAACTATATTGCTTTCAACCTAGCTGAAATACCTAAACTAAAGATAACTAAAGCAGGATTGCAATATGATAGTCTAACATGCCAGCTACACGTATATACAGAGAGAAAAGAGAGAGAGTGAAGGAGAGAGAGAAAGAGAGTTATTGTTTGGCATTGACTCGATTCTATAGGACAGAGTAGTAATGCCTCAAAGGTTTCCTAGGCTGCTTTATGGGAGAAGATTGCCAGGCTCTTTCTCACAGAGCAGCTGGTGGGTTCAGACTGCCAAACTTTCTGTTAGCAGCCTAATGCTTTAACCACTAAGCCACCAGAACACCATAGATATATGTGTATGCATGTGTCTATATACACGCACATATATACATGTATATATATGGCAATTAGAAATGAAGATCATATCTAACACACATAGATCATTCTCTAGAATAGACCATATTCTAGACCACAAAGTGAGCTTTAATAAATACAAAAATGTGGATATAACACAAAGCATCTTCTTTGATCATAATGCTATACAATTAAAAATAATAGAAAGAGCAAGGAAAAAAAATACATGGAAACTATATACTGCCTTACTTAAAAACTACTGGATCAGAGAAGAAATTAAAAACAAAATTAAAACATTTTTAGAATTAAATGAAAATGAAGAAACATACAAAAAATTCTGAGCTATAGCAAAAGCAGTGCTCAGAGGATAATTTATAGCAATAAATGCACACATCAAAAAAGAACAAAGGACCAGTATCTATAACTTAACCCGAAAATTTGAACACACAGGAAAGGAACAGCAAAAGAAGTCCACAGTCACCAGAATAAAGGATATAATAAAGATCAGAACAGAAATGAAAGAAATGGAAACAGAAAAACAATAGAATTAACAAAACTAAAAGTTTGTCTTTGAGAGGATAAGGGAAATTGACAAACCACTGACCAACTGACAAAGGAAAAAAATGAGAATATGCAAGTAAACAAAATAAGTCATGAAATGGGTGACATTACAACAGAACCAATGGAGATAAAGAGGATTATTATAGAATATTATGAAAAATTGTCCTCTTAACAAATTTGAAAACCTAGATGAAATGGGAAAACTTCTAAAAACACACTATCAAACTAAACTAACATAAGCAGAGGTAGAAAATCTAAATAGACCCAAAATGAAAGAAGAAATTGGTGCCATTTAAAGAAACAAAACAAACAAACATAAAACCTCTCAGCAAATATAAAGTCCTAGCCCAGACAGTTTCACTGCAGAGTTTTATGAAACATTCAGAAGAGAGTTGACAGCAATTCTACTCAAACTATTCCAAAACACAAAAGAGGAAGGAGTATTTCCTAACTCATTCTATGAAGCCAGCAAAACCCTGATACCAAACACAGGCAAAGATACCACAGAAAAAGAAAATTATAGATTAACCTCCCTCATGAATATGTTGTTGTTGTTGTTAGGTGTTGTTGAGCCATCTCTGACTCACAGCAACCCTATGTACAGCAGAACGAAACACTGCCCAGTCTTGTGCCAGGCCCATGATCTTTGCTATACCTGAGCCCTTCATTGTAGCCACTGTGTCAATCCATCTTGTTGAGGGCTTTCTCTTTTTTTCATTGACCCTTCACTTTACCAAGCATAATATCCTTCTCTGGGGAATGGTCCCTTCTGAGAACATGACCAAAGAAGGTAAGACGAAGTCTGGCCATTCTCACTTCCAAGGAACATTCTGGTTGCACTTCCTCTAGCACAGATTTGTTATAGTTCTCTTAGCAGTCCGTGATACTTTCAGCATTCTTCTCCAACACCACAACTCAATAGCATCAATTCTTCTTCAGTCTTCCTTATTCATTGTCCAGCTCTCACATGCATATGAGGTGACTGAAAATACCATGGCTTGTGTCAGATGCACCTTAGTCGTCAAGGAGATATCTTTGCTCTTCAGCACTCGAAAGAGGTCTTTTGCAGCAGATTTGCCCAATGCTACATGTTGTCTGAATCTTGACTGCTGCTTCCATTGATGTTGATTGTAGAACCAAGTAATATTTAGTCTCTGACAACTTCAATTTTTTCTCCATTTCTCAAGATGCTGCTTATTGGTCCAGTGGTGAGAATTTTCGTTTTCTTTATATTGAGATGCAATTTATACCACGAACTGTAGTTTTCAATCTTTATCAGTAAGTGCTTCAAGTCATCCTCACTTTCAGCAAGCAAAGTTGTGTCATAAGTATATCACAGGTTGTTAATGAGTCTTCCTCCAATCCTGATGCCTTGTTTTCTCTCATATTCTCCAGCTTCTCAGATTATTTGCTCAGCATACAGATTGAGTAAGTGTGGTGAAAGGATACAACCCTGACACACTCCCTTTCTCATTTTAAACCATGCAATATCCTCCTGCTCTGTTCAAATGACAGCCTCCTAGTCTATGTACAGGTTCATCATGAGTACAATTAAGTGTTCTGGAATTCCCGTTCTTCTCAATGTTGTCCATAATTTGTTATGGTCCATACAGTCAAATGCCTTTGCGTAGTCAATAAAACACAAGTAAACATCCCTCTGGCATTCTTTGCTTTCAACCAATATCCATGTGACATATGTAATGATATTCCTCATTCCATACCCGCTTCTGCATCCAGCTTGCATTTCTGGAAGTTTTCTGTCAATATACTGCTCCAACCATTTTTGAATTATCTTCAGCAAGATTTTACTTGTGTGTGATATTAATGGTATTGTTTGATAATTTCCACATTCTGTGGGATCACCTTTCTTGGGAATGGGTACAAATATAGATCTCTTTCAGTCAGTTGGCCAGGTAGCTGTTTTCCAAATCTCTTGGTTTGGCTAAGTGAGTGCCTCCAGTGGGGCATCCATTTGTTGAAACATCTCAATGGGTATTCCATCAATTCCTGGAGCCATGTTTTTTGCCACTTCCTTCAGTCCAGCTTTGACTTCTTCCTTCAACACCATTGCTTCTTGATCATATGCCACCTCCTGAAATGGATGACATTGACCAATTCTTTTTGGTACAGTGACTCTGTGTATTCCTTCCATCTTCTTTTGATGTTTCCTGCATCATTCAATATATTGCCCATAGAATCTTTCAATATTGTAACTTGAGGCTTGAATTTTTTCTTTAGCTGTTTCAGCTTGAAAAATGCTCAGTGTGTTCTCCCCTTTTGGTTCTCTACCTTCAGGTATTT